GGACAGACCTTGTGGCCTATGGGGCGTACAGTGTGTGCTATGGGGGATCCATTATATCTTATGGGGTGTACAGAGTGTGCTATGGGGTGTACAGTGTGTGCTATGTGGGATCCAATGTATCCTATGGGAGATCCATTATATCCTATGGGACAGACCATGTGGCCTATGGGGCGTGCAGTGTGTGTTATGGGGGATCCATTATATCTTATGGGGTGTACAGTGTGTGCTATGGGGTGTACAGTGTGTGCTATGGGGGATCCAATGTATCCTATGGGAGATCCATTATATCCTATGGGGGATCCACTGTGGTCTATGGGGTGTACAGTGTGTGCTATGTGGGATCCATTATATCCTCTGGGGTGTACAGTGTGTGCTAAGGGGTGTACAGTGTGTGCTATGGGGATCCATTATATCCTCTGGGGTGTACAGTGTGTGCTATGGGGTGTACAGTGTGTGCTATGGGGATCCATTATATCCTATGGGGTGCACAGTGTCCCCTATGGGGTGTACAGTGTGTGCTATGGGGTGTACAGTGTGTGCTATGGGGGATCCATTATATCCTATGGGGTGTACAGTGTGTGCTATGGGGTGTACAGTGTGTGCTATGGGGATCCATTATATCCTATGGGGTGCACAGTGTCCCCTATGGGGTGTACAGTGTGTGCTATTGGGGAATCCATTATATCCTATGGGGTGTACAGTGTGTCCTATGGGGAATCCCTTATATCCTATGGGAGAGACATTGTGGCCTATGGGGGATTCACTGTGGCCTATGGGGGATCCAATGTATCCTACGGGAGATCCATTATATCCTATGGGATGTACAATGTGTGCTATGGGATGTACAGTGTGTGTGCTATGGGATGTACAATGTGTGTGTGCTATGGGATGTACAATGTGTGTGCTATGGGATGTACAATGTGTGTGTGTGCTATGGGATGTACAATGTGTGTGCTATGGGATGTACAGTGTGTGTGCTATGGGATGTACAATGTGTGTGTTTGCTATGGGATGTACAATGTGTGTGTGCTATGGGATGTACAATGTGTGTGCTATGGGATGTACAGTGTGTGTGTGCTATGGGATGTACAGTGTGTGTGCTATGGGATGTACAATGTGTGCTATGGGATGTACAGTGTGTGTGTGCTATGGGATGTACAGTGTGTGTGTGCTATGGGATGTACAATGTGTGTGTGCTATGGGATGTACAATGTGTGTGTGCTGTGGGATGTACAATGTGTGTGTGCTATGGGATGTACAATGTGTGTGTGCTATGGGATGTACAATGTGTGTGCTATGGGATGTACAATGTGTGTGCTATGGGATGTACAATGTGTGTGTGCTATGGGATGTACAATGTGTGTGTGCTATGGGATGTACAATGTGTGTGTGCTATGGGATGTACAATGTGTGTGTGCTATGGGATGTGTGTGTGTGCTATGGGATGTACAATGTGTGTGTGCTATGGGATGTACAATGTGTGTGTGCTATGGGATGTACAATGTGTGTGTGCTATGGGATGTACAGTGTGTGTGCTATGGGATGTACAATGTGTGTGTGCTATGGGATGTACAATGTGTGTGTGCTATGGGATGTACAATGTGTGTGTGCTATGGGATGTACAATGTGTGTGTGCTATGGGATGTACAATGTGTGTGTGCTATGGGATGTACAATGTGTGTGTGCTATGGGATGTACAATGTGTGTGTGCTATGGGATGTACAATGTGTGTGTGCTATGGGATGTACAATGTGTGTGTGCTATGGGATGTACAATGTGTGTGTGCTATGGGATGTACAATGTGTGTGCTATGGGATGTACAGTGTGTGTGTGCTATGGGATGTACAATGTGTGTGTGCTATGGGATGTATGTGTGTGCAATGTGTGTGTGCTATGGGATGTACAATGTGTGTGTGCTATGGGATGTACAATGTGTGTGTGCTATGGGATGTACAATGTGTGTGCTATGGGATGTACAATGTGTGTGTGCTATGGGATGTACAATGTGTGTGTGCTATGGGATGTGTGTGTGCTATGGGATGTACATGTGTGTGTGCTATGTGTGTACAGTGTGTGTGTGCTATGGGATGTGTGTGTGTGCTATGGGATGTACAATGTGTGTACAATGTGTGTGTGCTATGGGATGTACAATGTGTGTGTGCTATGGGATGTACAATGTGTGTGCTATGGGATGTACAGTGTGTGTGTGCTATGGGATGTACAATGTGTGTGTGCTATGGGATGTACAATGTGTGTGCTATGGGATGTACAATGTGTGTGTGCTATGGGATGTACAATGTGTGTGTGCTATGGGATGTACAATGTGTGTGTGCTATGGGATGTACAATGTGTGTGTGCTATGGGATGTACAATGTGTGTGTGCTATGGGATGTACAATGTGTGTGTTTGCTATGGGATGTACAATGTGTGTGTGCTATGGGATGTACAATGTGTGTGTGCTATGGGATGTACAATGTGTGTGTGCTATGGGATGTACAATGTGTGTGTGCTATGGGATGTACAAGTGTGTGTGTGCTATGGGATGTACAATGTGTGTGTGCTATGGGATGTACAATGTGTGTGCTATGGGATGTACAATGTGTGTGTGCTATGGAATGTACAGTGTGTGTGTGCTATGGGATGTACAATGTGTGTGTGCTATGGGATGTACAATGTGTGTGCTATGGGATGTACAATGTGTGTGTGCTATGGGATGTACAATGTGTGTGCTATGGGATGTACAATGTGTGTGTGCTATGGGATGTACAATGTGTGTGCTATGGGATGTACAATGTGTGTGCTATGGGATGTACAATGTGTGTGTGTGCTATGGGATGTACAATGTGTGTGTGCTATGGGATGTACAATGTGTGTGTGCTATGGGATGTACAATGTGTGTGTGCTATGGGATGTACAATGTGTGTGTGCTATGGGATGTACAATGTGTGTGTGCTATGGGATGTACAATGTGTGTGCTATGGGATGTACAATGTGTGTGTGCTATGGGATGTACAGTGTGTGCTATGGGATGTACAATGTGTGTGTGCTATGGGATGTACAATGTGTGTGCTATGTGTGTGCTATGGGATGTACAATGTGTGTGCTATGGGATGTACAATGTGTGTGCTATGGGATGTACAATGTGTGTGTGCTATGGGATGTACAATGTGTGTGTGCTATGGGATGTACAATGTGTGTGTGCTATGGGATGTACAATGTGTGTGTGCTATGGGATGTACAATGTGTGTGTGCTATGGGATGTACAGTGTGTGTGTGCTATGGGATGTACAGTGTGTGTGTGCTATGGGATGTACAATGTGTGTGCTATGGGATGTACAATGTGTGTGTGCTATGGGATGTACAGTGTGTGTGTGCTATGGGATGTACAATGTGTGTGTGCTATGGGATGTACAATGTGTGCTATGGGATGTACAATGTGTGTGCTATGGGATGTACAATGATGTACAATGTGTGCTATGGGATGTACAATGTGTGTGCTATGGGATGTACAGTGTGTGTGTGCTATGGGATGTACAGTGTGTGTGTGCTATGGGATGTACAGTGTGTGTGTGCTATGGGATGTACAATGTGTGTGCTATGGGATGTACAATGTGTGTGCTATGGGATGTACAATGTGTGCTATGGGATGTACAATGTGTGTGCTATGGGATGTACAGTGTGTGTGTGCTATGGGATGTACAATGTGTGTGCTATGGGATGTACAATGTGTGTGCTATGGGATGTACAATGTGTGTGCTATGGGATGTACAATGTGTGTGCTATGGGATGTACAATGTGTGTGCTATGGGATGTACAATGTGTGTGTGCTATGGGATGTACAATGTGTGTGCTATGGGATGTACAATGTGTGTGTGTGCTATGGGATGTACAATGTGTGTGTGCTATGGGATGTACAATGTGTGTGCTATGGGATGTACAATGTGTGCTATGGGATGTACAATGTGTGTGCTATGGGATGTACAATGTGTGTGCTATGGGATGTACAATGTGTGTGTGCTATGGGATGTACAATGTGTGTGCTATGGGATGTACAATGTGTGTGCTATGGGATGTACAATGTGTGTGTGTGCTATGGGATGCACCCCGTGTCCTCCGGGCGCTCCCCCCTCTCCATCCCCTCCATGATCCTCACTCCCATTCCCATTTCCCACCTTTATTTGCCTTCGGGCCCCTCAGTGCCGGTAATGGGGGCTGCGGGACCGCGACCGGGAGCGCCTATGGGGTGCAGAGACGGAGGCGTTGGGATTGGGGGGGGGGGGTGTCTCCATGACCTGCGACCCCCGGGCCCCCCGGATGTGGGGCGGGATGCTCCTACCTCCGGGACGAGCTGTATTCCCGACCTGCAAGCACAGGGATGCGCTCAGGGACCCTTTCCCATGGGAATGCTGCTGCTTTTCCTTCCCTCCCCTCCCCACTGTGGGGCTGGGAAGCCCTTGTGCCCCACAGCTCCCCCCGCCCTGCCCCATAGGGACTCACTGTAGCGGGGGGATGGGGACCGGCTCTGGCGGCTGTACTGGCGCTCCCACTCCTCCCGCTCCTTCTCCCGGCGTTCCCGTTCCCTGCCGGGGAGGAAGAAGGGATGGGAATTCCATTGGGAATGATGGGGGGATCCGTGGGGAATGATGGGGGATCCATGGGGAATGATGGGGGGATCCGTTGGGAATGATGGGGGGATCCGTTGGGAATGATGGGGGAGATCCATTGGGAATGATGGGGGGATCCATTGGGAATGATGGGGGGGAACAGCACAGCCCCCCTGGATCCATTGGGTATGATGGGGGTATCCGTTGGGAATGATGGGGGGGATCCATTGGGAATGATGGGGGGATCCGTTGGGAATGAGGGGGGGATCCATGGGGAATGATGGGGGGATCCATTGGGAATGATGGGGGGGATCCATGGGGAATGATGGGGGATCCGTTGGGAATGATGGGGGGATCCGTTGGGAATGATGGGGGGGATCCGTTGGGTATGATGGGGGGATCCATTGGGAATGATGGGGGGATCCATGGGGAATGATGGGGGGATCTGTTGGGAATGATGGGGGGATCCATGGGGAATGATGGGGGGATCCGTTGGGAATGATGGGGGGGATCCGTGGGGAATGATGGGGGGGATCCACTGGGAATGATGGGGGGGATCCGTGGGGAATGAGGGGGGGATCCGTGGGGAATGATGGGGGGGATCCGTGGGGAATGATGGGGGGGGGGAATCCGTTGGGAATGATGGGGTAATCCGTTGGGAATGATGGGGGGAATGATGGGGGAATGATGGGGGGATCCGTGGGGAATGATGGGGGGTAATCCATGGGGGAATGATGGGGGGATCCACTGGGAATGATGGGGGGATCTGTTGGGAATGATGGGGAATCCGTTGGGAATGATGGGGTAATGATGGGGTTGGGAATGATGGGGAAGAATCAATTGGGAATGATGGGGGGGATCCGTTGGGAATGATGGGGGGATCCATGGGGAATGATGGGGGGATCCATTGGGAATGATGGGGGGGATCCATTGGGAATGATGGGGGGATGGGGTAAGCCCCCCCTGGGGTAATCCATTGGGAATGATGGGGGGATCCATTGGGAATGATGGGGGGGATCCGTTGGGAATGATGGGGGGATCCGTGGGGAATGATGGGGGGGATCCATGGGGAATGATGGGGGGAACAATAGGGAATGAAGGGGGGATCAAGGGGGAATGAAGGGGGGATCTATGGGGAATGATGGGGGGGATCCGTTGGGAATGATGGGGTAATCCGTGGGGAATGATGGGGGGATCCAATGGGAATGATGGGGTAATCCGTGGGGAATGAGGGGGGATCCGTGGGGAATGATGGGGGAATCCGTTGGGAATGATGGGGGGATCCGTGGGGAATGATGGGGGGGATCCACTGGGAATGATGGGGGGGAACCACTGGGAATGATGGGGGGATCTGTTGGGAATGATGGGTAATAATCCGTTGGGAATGATGGGGGGAATCCGTGGGGAATGATGGGGGGGATCCGTGGGGAATGATGGGGGGGATCCATGGGGAATGATGGGGGGGATCCGTTGGGAATGATGGGGGGATCCGTTGGGAATGATGGGGGGATCCGTTGGGAATGATGGGGGGGATCCGTGGGGAATGATGGGGGGGATCCGTGGGGAATGATGGGGGGGATCCACTGGGAATGATGGGGGGATCCGTTGGGAATGATGGGGGGATCCATTGGGAATGATGGGGGGGATCAGTTGGGAATGATGGGGGGAGCAGTACAGACCCCCCCAGATCCATTGGGAATGATGGGGGGAACAGCGCAGCCCCCCTGGATCCATGGGGAATGATGGGGGGGATCCGTAGGGAATGATGGGGGGGATCTATGGGGAATGATGGGGGGAGCAGCAGCCCCCCCTGGATCCATTGGGAATGATGGGGGGGATCCATTGGGAATGATGGGGGGGGGACACACTCACTTCATGCGGATCTTCCGGGCCATGGCTCGGAGCTCGTCCTCCCGCTCCTATGGGAGAGCAGGGACCCATAACCCGGTGTGCCCCCCCCCTGCCCCATAACCTGGGGTGTGCCCCCCCTGCCCCATAACCTGGGGTGTGCCCCATAACCGGGTGTGTGCCCCATAACCTGGTGTGTGCCCCCCCTGCCCCATAACCTGGTGTGTGCCCCATAACCTGGTGTGTGCCCCCCCTGCCCCATAACCTGGGGTTTGCCCCCACTGCCCCATAACCTGGTGTGTGCCCCCACCACCCCCTGCCCCATAACCTGGTGTGTGCCCCCCTCCAGCCCCATAACCTGGTGTGTGCCCCCCCTGCCCCCTAACCTGGTGTGTGCCCCCCCTGCCCCATAACCTGGGGTTTGCCCCCACTGCCCCATAACCTGGTGTGTGCCCCCACCACCCCCTGCCCCATAACCTGGTGTGTGCCCCCCTCCAGCCCCATAACCTGGTGTGTGCCCCCCCGCCCCATAACCAGGCTGTGCCCCCCCCACCTGTCTCTCGTGTTCCTGCTGCAGCATCTTCTCCTGCGCTGCCTTCTTGTCAGCTTTAACTGCAGGGAACAGGGGGGGTCAATGGGGACATGGGGGGGTCAATGGGGACATGGGGGTCAATGGGGACATGGGGGTCAATGGGGACATGGGGGTCAATGGGGACATGGGGGTCAATGGGGACATGGGGGTCAATGGGGGCGGAGGGGTCAATGGGGACATGGGGGTCAATGGGGACATGGGGGTCAATGGGGACATGGGAGTCAGTGGGGACATGGGGGGGTCAAAGGGGACATGGGAGGGTCAATGGGGACATGGGGGTCAATGGGGACATGGGAGGGTCAATGGGGACATGGGGGCACACACAAACACATGGGGACATGGGGGTGTCAATGGGGACATGGGGGGTCAATGGGGATATGGGGGTCAAACACATGGGGGACATGGGGGCACACAAATGGGGACATGGGGGTCACACACATGGGGACATGGGGTCAATGGGGACATGGGGGTCAATGGGGACATGGGAGGGTCAATGGGGACATGGGGATCAATGGGGACATGGGGGGTCAGTGGGGACATGGGGGTCAATGGGGACATGGGGGGGTCAATGGGGACAGGTGGGTCAATGGGGGCAGGGGGTCAATGGGGATATGGGGGGTCAGTGGGGACATGGGGGGGTCACATGGGGACATGGGGGGGGGTCAATGGGGACATGGGGGGTCAATGGGGACATGGGGGTCAATGGGGCACACATGGGGGTCAATGGGGACATGGGGGGGACAATGGGGACATGGGGGTCAATGGGGACATGGGGGTCAATGGGGGGCACACACAAACACATGGGGGGCACACAAACACAGGGGGGTCAATGGGGGGTCACACAAACACATGGGGGTCCAGGGGGGGCACACACACACATGGGGGTCAATGGGGGACAATGGGGGTCAATGGGGCACACACACACATGGGGACATGGGGGCACACAAACATGGGGGTCAATGGGGGGCACACACAAACACATGGGGGTCAATGGGGACATGGGGGCCAATGGGGACATGGGGGTCAATGGGGGACATGGGGGTCAATGGGGACATGGGAGGGTCAATGGGGACATGGGGGTCAATGGGGGACAATGGGGGGCACACAAACAATGGGGACATGGGGGCACACATGGGGACATGGGGGTCAATGGGGTCACACACACATGGGGGGCACACAAACACATGGGGGTCAATGGGGGGCACACAAACACATGGGGGTCAATGGGGGGCACACACAAACACATGGGGGTCAATGGGGGGGTCACACACACACATGGGGGGCACACAAACACATGGGGGTCAATGGGGGGCACACAAACACATGGGGGTCAATGGGGGGGTCAATGGGGACATGGGGGACAATGGGGACATGGGGGGGACAATGGGGGACATGGGAGGGCACAATGGGGACATGGGGGTCAATG